GGCCCTGTTCTTTTGAGCTTCTGGGCAGAGCAGAGCAGAGCAGATTTATTATTATTTTTTATTTAATTATTAATTATTATTATTATTATTTTTATTTATTTTTATTTTTATTATTATTATTTTAATTATTATTATTATTATAATCATTAAATTTTTAAATTTAAATATTAATTATAATTATTATTAAATATTATTGAATTATTAATATTATTAAAAATTAATAATTAGTATTATCTTTAAATGTTATTTATTATCTTAATATTAATTGCTATTATAAAAAAATATAGTCTTGTGGGTACTGGTTTCCTTGTTTTTAGCCTTAGGATTATTTACTTTCCTGTTTTATAGCTAGATTAGAGCAATGCCTAATCCTATACTCTGTATATATTGCTAAGCATAACAATCATAATATTATAATTCTTTCATGATACTCCCTCCGTTTTTAAATACTTGCTCCATTTCTCTTGGACACGCATGCCGATACTAATATTTGATCACTAATATATTAATTATCAATAAGTATAAATTCTAACAATTGAAAATTAACAATCTATTCATTGAGATGATTCCAACAAAGTACATTATATTTTTTTTTCTATAATATAAATCACAAACATTAGTCAAAATAGGACAAATGAATAGTGCAAAAAAATAGAAATGGAACAAGTATTTAAAAATAGAGGGAGTATTAGTTAGCTAGGTTTCTCTCTCATCTTCCGCGAGAATTTCTCAGCTTAATTTAGTAATTTTGTATATTATGAGGACATAGCTGTAGTACGTGGTGGACCCTTATTGTTTTGAAAATTGTCTGATGACCAAATTTTAAAGAACTAAAAAAAAATTTTAAAAGGGAAGAAAGAGAGAACATAAGGGGCAGTCCAAAAACAAAAGAAGAGAGAGAAACCCTTCTCGAACCATTTCAGTTCAAAGAAGATAGAAGAGAAAATATAAAGGTAAGGGCGAAGAGAAACGCTTAAGCAAATGACGATCTGAAAAACATAAGAAGGAATTCGAAATTAAAAGAAGAGAGAGAAACCCATCAGACCAAAGCTAAGCTAAAGCTAAGGGTGAAGAGATAAGCAAAAGCGAACGACGATATGAACTCCGACGAAAATGAAGTATATTAACCGTTGGTGTTGTTCTTGTTCTATCTTTTGATGTTGATGTACTTTTATGATACCAACAAACTTTTTTGATGATATTTGGTGTTATTCTTGTTCTATCTTTTGCTGTTAATAATACTTTTTATGATACCAACAACTTCTTGATAGTATTCTTTTAGATACCAACAGTCCATGATGGTATTCTACAACAATTTTTGATGGTATTCTTTTGGATACCAACCTCTCTTGATGGTATTCTTTTATACCATTAGTCATTGATGGTATTTGATATTGTTCTTGTTCTATCTTTTCCTGTGCATGGTACTTTTTATGATACCAGCATCTTGATTGTATTCTTTTAGATACCAACAATGCTTGATGGTATTCATTTAGATACCAACAATCCTTGATGGTATTTGTAATTAATTCAACCCAAAGAGACCCAACCCCAAAGTTTGAGAAAAAAAAGGGATTATAACAAATTATGAAAAATAAATGCTCTAACAAATTATTATGACAACTTTTTTTAGTTTTGCAAAAAATAAAACCAAAATTAAGAATCAAGAAAATTGTGCATTTAGGGGGAAATTGTGAAAATTGTTACTACCATTGCATTTAGGCAGAAGAAAACAAGAAATATAGGAGAGGAGGGACAATATATGACACAAAAGGGCCCCACATTTTTTCACACTTTCACTTTGTTTGATAATCAAATGACGTGAAAGTATTTATCACTGGGTTTGGTTTTGGGGAGACACATATGGGTGTCTACAATGTGTAATAATTGTGAAACTGTCTTTAAATGTGTGAGCTAGCTTGTTTTTTCCACTTGTATTTTGGGGAAAAGGTGATTGTCCCACATTGGTTGGATAAGGAAGTTTTGCTTACAAAAATATTAAAGAAAATCTGGTTGTTTATGTAATCTTTCCATTGTTGATTTCTTTTATAGTGTAGTGTACTTACTGCTATTACATTCATGCAGAGATGAATCCTTTAAATACCAAAAAGGCTATTTATCCCTTGATAAATTTGATAGCTTGTTGTTAAGTTCTGACAACTTTAAGCATTGCTTACCCCTGTAAGTGCAATTATAATGTAATTTAACGCATTAATAATTTTGGTTCCCCCGAAAGTAGATATAGCATATTCCTAGATCATAAAGACTACTATGTAATTTAAATAGATATAGCATATTTTTAGATCATACTATGTAATTTAAATAGATATAGCATATTCCTAGATCATACTATGTAGTTTAACGCATTAACAATTTTGGTTCGCCTGAAAGTAGAATTTGCTACATATGGTCATATGTTATTCCAAATTCTATAATTCATGCGAACTGCAATGTTGGTCGCAGACTCGCAGCAGGGGATTTATTGGAATTGAGCAATGATCATCAGGGATAGCAAGGTGTGTAAAGAGTAATAGAAGATTAGTGTGCAAGAGGATGAGAGAAAGAAGTGTGGGAATAGCAGAGAGGAGGAAAGCTGATATATCTTCTCATAAGCTCAAAATGGCACACATTGTACCTGATATATATCAGGACAAAATACAACTTTATTACACCAAAACTAAGAAAACAGCTAAGAGAATCTTTCTTAAATTCAGATCCCTTAACAACCCAAGTAGCTGGCATATAGCAGCTGTAATGAGGGTGTTCCCATCGTAGGGGATCTTCTCCTTAAATGCCCATTGGACCTTTAGAAGCCTAGGAATTTACACTTGTTAAGATGTAGTAGGATTTGAATTCCTGACTGTTTGGGGACCTTGAATTAGAATTGATCTTCTCATCACGCTTTTTATAAGAAACAAGTAGGGAGTCGCCAATGAGTTTTAGGAAAACTCATAAACCTCGTTCATGCCTTTCTCCCATGTGGAGTTCATGGGATAGTTAGCACGAATCGTAAGTTTACCCATGCCCAAATTGGTCTACATAAAACCATAAATGAGTTCGAAAGCGAGGGTGCTAAAATAATGTTCCTTTAAGGGAGGAATCGCTATTCTAGCCCTAGTGCGGCCTCTACTAGCTCTTCGTGTTTCACAATTTCAATCACCAAACAATATATTGCAACGTGATACCTAAAGACTAAGTTAGTTGATTTTATTTACACGCATTAATCATATAGAAATTACATTGCAAAAATTCGTTATTCTTATTTAATCAATATTCGTGAAAGAACAATAAATAAACAAGATTTACCTTGTCTTAAGTGATAAAACAACAATTAATTATTCAAATTCTAGTCTTGATCGATTAACGAAAGAGTACTATGTGAATGAATTAATTAAAAGTTTGTTTAAAGTGATCAAACAACACTAATTAATCAATTAAAGTTATTTAAACAATATAAGTAAAGTGATTTATCTAAGTGCTTAGGAAACTAATCGTTCTTCTTTGTATGCTTTGATCTTCGTCTTAGATGTTTTGGACCTTATTTCTTCTTTATACCTCCAAGGATTTCAATGGATTCAATTAGGTTGGAAAGTATTTGGGAAGAGAGAGAAAAGTAGTATGATAGTAAGAGGATTTGAGAGATTAAGGATTTCAGAATTTAGGGTTTAGAATTCTGATTTTTCTATGTGTTTAGTGCTGAACGAAGACCCCTTTTTATAGGCGTAGGAATCTAGGTTTAGGTTTTAGAGCCGCGGCGTCAGGTGGCACGTGCAACTCTCTGAGTCGCGCTGGGTGCCGCGCGCATCTCAATGAGTCGCGCGTGCCAGGCGCGCGCAACTTATCGAGTTGCGTTGGTTTGCGGTTTTCCTTATACAAAAACGCGTTTTAAAAACTTCCATAACTTTTGATTGCTGAGTTGGATTAAGGCGTGTGAGATATCATTGGAAATCTCTAAATGTCTACTTTCCAATGCCGTAAGAATTAGGTTAAAATATGTTATGGATTAAAAGTTATGGCCGTTGGAGTGCAAGGGTGTCGGTTTTGGCCCGATTTAGTGTTTTGATCATAACTTCTTCGTTTTGGCTCGGAATTGGGCTTATAATATACCGTTGGAAAGATCTTTGAAAGTGATATCCATATATATAGGACTTGCACGGGAATTTGATGGTTGATTTATCTTTTTGTCTCGGTTTTCAACAATGTAGGTTCCATTGGATCCAATCATTGCATTTGACGCATTTGGGTCTGTTATTAATCAAGTTTAGACATGTATGAACACGTTTTAGGCCTAATTAGTAATTGGAAAAAGGCTCTAAGATATATTGGTCTCAAATATGGGTTTTAACTTACTTCATAATACTTTTTGTAGTCCATATACTTCAACTTTGATTTAGCATGAAGAACGGGTTTTTGTAACATCATCGCACTTCCTTTTCGGGAAAAGAGGCCAAAAGTAGGTGTCTACAGCAGCTATCATAACATATTTGATTCCATTTAGTAAGAATACCAAAGTGCCCTACAAATATCCTGCTCATAACCCCTATTCAAGCTGAGGGCTAGTAAGATTGCTAGCACCAAGCTTGTGCAAGAGTTGCTGATGCTGTTTCACTGATAGGCCTTTAGTGAGTATATCAGCAAGTTTATCTTCAGAATTAATGTGAGCAGTAATAAAATCACCTGATCTGACCATATCTCGAACATAATGGAAGTCAATTTCTACATGTAGAACAGGATTTGCAGCTATTGCAATGGAAACTTGATTATCACAGTATAAAAAGAGTAGTACCTAGAGAAGACAGGCCTAGATCTTTCAACAGAGCTTTTAGCCAGGTCACCTCACAGGATGTGAGAGCCATGGCCCTGTACTCAGCCTCTGCTGATGATTTTGCAACTAGAGACTATTTCTTTGCCTTCCAAGAGACAGGTGACTTCCCAAGAAGGATACAATAGCCAGTAGTTGACCTTCTAGTAGATGGACAACTAGCCCAGTCACTATCACTTTAAGCAATTAACTGTGCTGCAGAAGAAGAAGCAAGAAGTATTCCTTGAGAGGTTGAGCCAGCCAAATATCTCAGTAGTCTTTTTACAGCCTGCAAATGAGTATATGTAGGGAAATGCATGAACTGACTCAACAATTGCACATTAAATGATATATCAGGCCTAGTGATGGTCAGATAGATCAGTTTCCCTAGTAATTTATGATAAATTAAAGGATTTGGTAAAGGTTTGCCTTTATCAGGTGCCAGCTTCAAGTGAGTATTAATGGGAAGCTTCAGAGGTTTGGCATGAAGCAAACCTTCATCTCTCAGCACATCTGTTATGTATTTCTTTTGAGAAATAAAAATCCCTTGATTTGTGTGATCAATTTCTAAGCCAAGAAAGTATCTCAAGGGACCAAGATCTTTCATGTGAAAGTGAGAAGACAAGAGTGTTTTCAGAGTAATAATTTCCTGCTTATCATTTTCAGTGATAAGTAAATCATCAACATAAACCAGGATGGCTGTAATTGATTGACCCTGATGTTTGGTGAACAAACTGTAATCAGATTTTGACTGTGTATAGCCAAAGGAGACAAGAGAAGAAGAGAGTTTGACAAACCATTGTCTTGGGCTTGTTTAAGCCCATACAAAGACTTGTTGAGTTTGCAAACAAGTTGAGAGTTCTTGACAGGAGCATTGCCTTGGAAATCAACCACAATTTTTCTACCATGACCAGTGTACCCTTGAGGAGAGACATATGAACATCCTCATCCAGATCACCATGAAAGAATGCATTGGTTACAACCATTTGAGTGTGTAGGGAATATTTCAAGTATCACCCCAAACTTGAACCCCACTGTGATCATACACTTAAGCATGATGGCGTCTAAAGGGAAGGAAGGTAGAGCAAAAGAGTCGCCAACAAGTTTTAGGAACTTGTAAACCGTTCATAGGGTGAAGGTTACACCCCTTAACGATTCATGAGATCGTCAACTCCAATAGGTCTGGAACCATGACTGGTGTTTGGGGATGAAGATACAAATCTAATCTAAAAGAGAAAGTACCTGCCCTAATAATAGGCCTTTACTTTGTTCTACTTGTATTCATGTGCACTTTCTTACTAACATGCAATCAGTAGATTTGCCCTAAACCTGTTTATCTATGTTGGTTGAATATTAATGCACAAATAAATCTATTAATTATCTTATTAAGCGTGATTACAAGTATAAATTTCCTTTAAACATGCATAAAAGGTGTGATCAAGCAATAACAATAGTAATAAAATATCAAGCAACATAATAATCATCATAATAATAACAATCATAATAATAATCATAACCATAATCATATCAACGCTAAAGCATAATAATAGCAAGATCCTAGACATGCTACTAACAAGATTAATAACAAAGCCTAGCATGTCACTAAACAATAAAAATCAAAGCTTCAACCCTAACATGGTACTAACATGATATTAGGAAAGAAATAGGAATCATCCTTTTAATCATACTTGATATTAGAAATTTTAGTTGTTACCCTAAACATGATACTAGGAAGCAATAAAACAACCTAACATGATACTAGGAATCAAAATAACAATCTAAGCATGATTTCTATATCAAAAGATCAATAAAGCAATTAAATAACTTACTTGGATACCTCGTATCTCTTTCTAATAACAAAATACACTCATTAGTAACTTCAAGGAAAATAACAATAAAATAATTAAATCAAATAATTGAAATATAGATTTGGGACCAAACCCTCAAAAATATCGAACCTTTCACGTTTAGTACGAAGAGAACTTAGAACTTGGCTAGGTGCTTCTAGTGCTAATGTATGAGGAATTGTGTTTGTAAAAGGGCTAGGCTAGAAAGAGGGAGAAAGAGAATAAGCTTTTTTAACTTAGAGAGAGAAGAGAATTAGAGAATTTTGGTTGAGAATTGGTTATTGAAAACGGAGGTCGAAGGACCCTATTTATAAGAAAATAGTTAGGAATCGATTGAAACGAATCAGAGTTCGAAAAAGAATAAGACATATCTCTGTCGCTAGCGACAGGGATCGTCGCCAGGCAACGAACCTGTCGTTTGGCGATGCAAGACAATTTTTGCGGATTTTGTTTTTATCATATCTTCTGATTTAGAAGTCCAAATAAGTCATATAATAGGTCGTTGAAAAGCTCTTGAAGTCTACTTTCCAACCCAATTAGAATAAAATTAAAATCTTTTGTAGATAAAAATATATGGCAAAAATAGTGGAAGGGTGTTAGTTTTGGATAGAGTTTCGTATTCCATTCATACCTTTTTCGTTATAGCTAGGAATTAATATTATAATATATCATTGGAAAGATAATTTCAAAATCTATCCAACCATATAAGATTTGGATAAAGATTATGAGGCACAAAAATAATATCTGACTATCTTTGAACATCTTTAAATTCGAATAGAATTAGGATTTTAAAAAAGGAAAGTTTTATTCAATTTCAAACTCTTTGATATTATCTTTTCAAAAAGGATAATTAAGATCTTTTAGAAACTTATAGAAGATTATAATAAATCCTAATTATTTTAGGAATAGGATTAAACCTTTGGACCCTCCACATGATCATTGGGCCGTTGGTAAAATCCGGTTTGAGCCCAGTTCAGTATTTTGGCCATAACTTCCTCATTATTCATCGGAATTGGGCTTATAATATATCGTTGGAAAGGTCTTTTCAAACCCCACACAACTAAAATATTATTGGACCCATATCATGGACCAAATTAAACTGGAATGCACGTTTTACATAAATAGGGTAAGAAAATAAATATTTTCAAAAACAGAAAGAAGAGAAATTTTAATAAAAACATCCTCATCACTAGACTTTTCACACTTTCGCTATGTACGATAATCAAATGACATGAAAGGTATTCATCACTGGGTTTGGTTTTGGGGATACACATTTGGGTGTCTACAGAGTGGTAACCCAACCATGCATTGCAGCTACAACTAAGAGAGTTTTGACAGTGGTCATCTTGGCAACAAGAGCAAAAGTTTCACTGTAATCCACCCCATATTGTTGTATGCAACCCAAAACAAATATTATGGCTTTATGTCTCTCAATATCACCATTGGACTTGAATTTTGTCTTGTATATCCATTTACATCCAATCACCCTTTTTCCTTGTGGAAGAGTAGTGACTGTCCAAGTGCCATTCAATTCGCATTGTTCAAGTTCCTTGTTCATGGCATCCACCCAATGCTGATTAGTAACAACATGTTTGTAAAATATAGGGTCTTGAGATGTAGCAAGGGTAGACATAAAGCAATGAAACTCATGACCAACTTCTTGAGAAGCCAAATTTGCTATCTGAATCTCAGATTTTTTCTTAGGTTAGATGTAATCTTTCATCCAAACAGGTGGTTTCATTGGTCTTGAGCTTTGCCTCACATTTTGTTCTGTATCCAGAGAAGTTAAAGGGCTATCACTTTGTGTCTGAAAAGGAACAGGAATAGGAGAAGGGATTTGATAGGAGTTAGAAATAGGTGAAGAGATTAGAGTGGCATCAGAAGTAGGAATTGAAATAGGAGTGGGTGTGTCTGTTGTGTTTTCATTTTGGTTTGGATCTTTAATTTCATCAATATACATATGATTGAAGTTTTCTTTTTGGGTAAGAGTGGAAGGCACATGTTTCATGTATTGATCAAGAGAGGTAAGTTGAAATAGAAAGATGGTTTCATGGAATGTGACATCCCTAGATACAAAGATTTTCTTTGATTTTATATCAAGTAACTTGTAACCCTTTTGAGTTGCAGGATACCCAATGAACACACAGTATACACCTCTGGGCTGAAACTTGTCTGTAGTCCCAGCTAGGTTGGCAGCAAAGGCCAGGCACCCAAATACTCTCAAGTGTGAATAGTCTGGTTAAGATTTGAACAAGACTTCATAAGGAGTTTTGTTCTTTAGAAATGGTGTGGGCAGTCTGTTGATCAAATGAGCTGCTGTCATTTTGCTGTGGTCTATCAAAACAGGATGTCTGATCAACAATTCCCAGATTTGCAATAACATCTTGACAATATTAGTCATGGAATTCTAGAGCATTATCTGATCTAAGATACTTTATCTTGCACTTGAAATGTGTTTGAGCATAGTTGGAGAATTCTTTGAGTTTGTCAAGGGACTCAGATTTGTGCTGTAACAGGTACACCCAAGTTGTTCTTGAGAAGTCATCTACTATAGTTAAGAAATATCTTTATTTGCCCCTTGTGCAAACTTTATAAGGACCCCAGATATCCATGTTAATCAATTCAAAAGGATGAGATGCATGAGAGGAACTCAAATCATAAGGCAGCTTTGTGAATTTCGCCATGGGACAAGTTGCACATACTTGACTATTTTCAGTAATGCTATCTTAATAGCTGTTCAGATCAAACTATTGTTGTGTGAGGGTGACATTCAATGAGCTGCTTTGTCCTGGAGATGAAGCACTGTGAGCAACAACAGCTAGCTTAGGTGATATCAAAGGGATCAAAGCAAGGAAATTGCTGTTAAGAAGATATCAAAGGGATCAAAGCAAGGGATAAAAGAGTACATGTCAGAAGTGAAGATTATTAGCCGTTTGAGGCATAAAAATTTGGTTCAACTTCTTGGTTGGTGCCATGAACGAGCAGAGTTGCTTCTTGTTTATGAATTTATGCCTAATGGAAGTCTTGACACCCATCTTTATGCAGGCAAGAGAAAGGTTGTTTTACCCTGGGCAACGAGGTACAAAATTGTACAAGATTTGGCATCTGCCTTGCTATATCTACACCAAGATTGGGAACAATGTGTATTGCATAGAGATATCAAACCAAGCAATAACATGCTTGATTCCGACTTCAATTCCAAGCTTGGAGATTTCGGGCTGGCAAGACTGGTAGATCACAATCTTGGTGCACAGACAACTGTATTAGCTGGTGTTTCGGATGAAAACAATGGGACCTTGCCGAAGGTCCGCTAAAATGGAGAAGACTAGATTCGGTCCAAGTAATGTTGGGCCGAAGGTTTCCTGCACAGTAAATACACGTAAACTAGTCTCGGGGTGTTGCCGAGGAAGGCCCCTCCGATGCTAAAGTTAGTACAATGTGTAGAAAGAGAACACTATGCAAGAGAATTAGTTGCTTGAGGCTTTGCTTGAGTATATGAGAATGTATGAGAGTATATGAATGAATGTGAAAATGTAATATTGATGGCTTTTATACCTCTTCATACATGGAGAAGTTGGGCCTTAGCCCAATTGGCTTGCTTTGAGGGCTGACCTTTGACTTTAGCACAATTGGAGAGATGAACCTTGACCTTGGGCTTTTAATTGGATCATTTAATGCCTAGGCCCAATTGGACTAAATTGGACCCAAACAACTTGCCCCCAGACCCGATTTGGAAGGATGACGGGTCGGGTTTGATTTAATTCAGAAAAGGAGGGAAGTGAATGATTTAATTAATCCAAAAATTTGAATTTTAAACCGTAATTAATGAGATAACAACGGTTAAGGCGGATGATTGTGGAAGTTGGACGGATAATGGGCAGTTTAATCGCAAGGTCGTGTGTTTAACGGTTACTTAGTGGGGTATTTAAGAGAAATTGAAACGCGGACTCCCCGTATTCCTATTTCTGGAGATATAATCAGAAGCGCGTCATCTCTCCTCACTTATTCACCAACACAAACCCAGAATTCTCGAGGAGAACCCAAGAACCCGCATCAAAACTTCGCAAATTCCCCGAGCATTAAGCTTAGAAACTGAGGCTTGCCACTACGAACTCGTAAATCGGCAACTTTCGCTTCAGATTAAGGTGAATTCCTTTGATTTCAGTTTATTTTTCTTCGAATTCGAACTCCTTCCCTTTTTTTTTCGACTTTTTACTTCGAAATAATCAATGGTAAGAGGAGTTAGAGGTAGAGCCCGTGCTCCAAGAAGAGCAAGGCTAATTCCCGATCCTAGGAACAGGATTGGGACCTGGAATGGACAAAGGCCAGAGTCTGACCCTGCTGAAGGGATTAGGGCGACTCCAATTTCCTCGGCTCCTCCTCAGAGAACGGAGAGGCCGAGCGCTTCTGGACGGGACGATGAAGTTCCCGCTGTCCTTTGGGATATCCTACCCGGGTTTTCAGAATGGGAGAATGCCGAAGTAGCTTCGGCCATGATAAAGAACCGCCCCTACTCATGGTGGGTGGAGAATGCCGAACAATATCGGTTTGCCGAGCAAATTGAGTTGCATTACGGCATTTTTGAAGCTGATGGGTATTGGTGCCGAATGCCCGCGGCATCCGGTAGAATCCATCGTCCACCCCCGGGGTATGTGGGGGTGTACACAAGACAGCTTCAGTACGGGCTGAGGTTCCCTTTGGACGTATTCGTCCGAGACTTGCTGATCCATTACAATATCTCCCTATGTCAGCTAACTCCTACCAGCATCCGAAGGGTGATGACATACTTATGGGTTTGCAAGTTCTTCAAGTATGTGCCGAACCTGCACTGCTTCAAAAAAGCTTCATCGGCTAGTGCCAAATATTCAAAGTGGGCACGGAAGCCATGGTTCTGGGTGGTACCGGATTGAGTCCCGGCCCTAGTACCTAACCATGTGGCCGAACGACTCTTCAAACAAGGAATGGAGAGGTTAATGGATTTGGGTTATGGCACCCACGGATCCGGGCCACCCTTGCGTCTTCAGCGCTCCCCGGTACCTTGCTGAGCCTGATCCCGACATGGGAAGTCTAGGTCCCCCCGCAGACAACGGGCCAGATCCGAACCTTAATCAGCAGAACATCTTTGGCAAGCTGCCGAACCGGGGGGGGGGGGCAGCGGCCGAATACAGCATATCCCGGAGACTTGGCTCCCCGATACGCATTATGTTTTCCAAGAGAACATGCTAGCAGCTGTTGGCCTCAGCCGAAAGTTTAAGGATGGTAAGCTTCTTCGGCTGGGGCCGAGGCTTTTTAATTATCTCTTTTTCTTCTCTCACTTCGCTTTTTTTATGCTGTGCCAACCTAACTGAAATGACCTTTCCCCTTTTCTTTTTCAAAGCGGACGAGACCAACGTTGGCATTAACTACGCTCGTCTTGGTGTCAACCGAGAACGAGCTGTAACTGATCGGGCCCCGTCTATCACTGAACCGAGGCATAGGAAGTTCATCTAGACTCTTCCCACTTCCAAATTGAGGCTGTAGCTCTGTATCAGAGGCAGAAGCCTTGGTGGAAGAAGAGAGACCCCTGGTTTCAGCTGCTGGACGAAGAAGCTGAAGCTGTCCGTACGGCCGAAGAGGTTGCACGGGTTATCGAAGCTTGCGAAGGAGGAGAAGGGTCCTCCAGAGCTGCTGAAGAAGAAGCTGCAGCTAGGGCAGCTGAAGAAGACGAGGCTTTGCTGAAGACCTCGGTGAGCTTTCAGACTTAACTTTGTCTTTCTTTTTTTTTTTTTTTTTTTTGTACTCACATTCTTCCTCCCCCTGTCTTTTACAGTCTGAAGAGAGTAACAGACACAGAGAAGGGAAAGCCCATGTTCGTCCCGAAGACCAGATACAAGAAGAGTCTTCAGACTCAGACATGGACGAGCAGCCCCTTCAGAAAAGGCGCCGAAGAATGTCCATCATCGGCCCTCATGACTTTCAGCGAAGGCCGATGACCATCGGCGTTGAAATAAGGGAAACCCGAGGAAGGCAATGGGATCGCCGAGGGTTCCCCGGCCACCACCCCCAATCACCTCAAAAGACCCCTCCGCCACCTCCTGAGATGGAGGTGGATCAGAGAACTCCCGAATCTAAGGGAGGGTCCAAGAAGAAGTTCAGGAGAGTGCTGCTGAGCACAAAAATAAGGATGCCGTGATGCCCAGTGCTGAGGGTTTCACGGCAGACATTGCAAGAGAGGTTGAGGCTTTCGTCGTCCTCACCCCTGAAGAAGAAGAAGTCATAATAATTGACTCTTCTGAGAAGGATGATGCTGAGCCATCCAAAGCTAAAGAAGCTCCATCGTCATCCTTTCCTTCCTTCCAGACTCTGCAATCTGGAGAAATGGGTTTCTCGGCCCCCGAATTCCAATCCAGATCACATCTGGGACCTCATATGGGGTCAGAACCGAGAAGGTGCTGCAGCCTACTTCGGCGATTTTGCTGGCATGTCCGAAGTAGATAGGGCAAGAATCTGGTCGCTGAAGGCCACTGCTGGGATGGGCGAATCCAGCAGATCAGTTCCTTGACCCAGCCAGGTCTAACCAACTGCTGATGATGCATGGTGATTTTCCTTGCCTTTATTTCCTCTAAAATTCAGCTCTATTTTTATTATTATTTTTTTTTTGACTTGTGCTCCTGTTTTCAGTTCGTGCACAGTCAGACTCTCACTGTAGAGCTGATGATACCCTACAAGATAGGGTAGACGCTGCCGCACGACAAGAAGGTAGCCGAAGAGTAATTAAAGCTTGCTAAGCTGAAGCAAGCAGCAGCTGAAGAGAAGCA